TTATCATAGATATACATATACCTGGTTTGAGGATAAAACGTTATCATTACGCGATTTTATAAAAATTTAAAATTYAAACGCACTTATAATTTTTCCTATAGTGATGCTTCAATGCAACAATTATCAGAAAATCATAGCATGACATTTAACAAAATTAAAAATACTTTTAAAAAAAAAAATACAAAATCAAAAATAAATATTTTAAGACTTTAATAAATTACCATTGATATTATTATTTATTATTAAACAATTTATATTACAGGAATGGTTTTAGTATTGTTCACGTCAATAAGCATAAAGTTATACGTTATTAGTATGTAGTTTGAGTTAACGTTTTTATTTTTTTTGAATTCAAGCCCTAAGGTGGAAGTCAAATTAATTTTTAAATAATACATAGGAATATTATACACAAATTCAAAATGTATGGCACGAGTGAGATCAGAATTTATAAAATCTCTGTTATATAATATAATGTATTTTACGCATTTATACGTACATGTATAATAATATTAAATATAATATATTTATTATAATCTATTTAAATTTTATTATTATTATTATTATTATTATTAAAACTTTGTAGCAATAATACAACGAAAGTTTTGTGACGTTGACATGATGCTCGTTGCCCTTTTTATTGTGTCAGTGGTGGACAATTGTAAAAAAATGTCCAATACATTGTGAATTGCTTTATGAATAAAATAGATTAATTTTAAATTGAGTTTTATTTTGTATTTATTAATGTATATCTTAAATCAATAATATTCAACAGAATATAAAACTTTTATAATGATAAAAAAAATGGGGTTATAATAAATTATTTATATTACCTCTCCAGTCCTTGAATTGTCTTCTCAATTGAAACCGTGGTTAGCGTCTGAGGTATAAGGTGAGGTAACCGATTTGTATTTTAAAATAATAAAACCTTTTTCTTTGGTCTATTRATATTACTTTTATTTAATTTATTTCTAATGCAAATACTTTTAACTAACTTATTATTTTATTTTTAATATACATATATATGGTTTTGAGTTTTGACTTTAAMAATATTACTTATTTCTGTATAGACGATCTGTGTAGTCTTTTACACTCGCTTATGAT